ATTATTAAATAAATTAATGAAATTTGTTTAAATTATAATTATTATTATTATGTTGAGACTTTTCCGAGTTAGTGCATCTAGGCAGTTTTACTCTTTGATAGCTGGTGGGTTTCTGTAGAGTTCCACCCTTCTCCCTGACTAATTTTGTATTCCTCAAAAGCTTTGTGATTATTCGATGAGTGATCTAACATCTGCGTACCGCCCCGTGCGGCTAGTGATTATTCTGAGATTAGATACTGCTAAGTGTGACAGCTTGTCCGTTTTCGCATATAGTTTTAGGGCTCTGTCTTTTATGTATTTTTTGACCGGATCTATTCTAAGGTCTCTTATCATGTCATTCGTGCGGATTTACTATGGCACTTCGAAGATTCTTCGGAGAGCTTGACTTTGAGCAACTTGTAGCTTCTGGATATTAGAGTCGGCAGCTTTGCTATACGCGACATTCCCATAAAGTAGTGCTGGTCTAAATATCAAGCTGTAGATCAGCTTACTGTTCTTCGCGCTAAGGTTGTTGTGTTTGAAAAGTGGTTGTTAGCATTGCAGTGTTTTTGAGTTTTCTACTTCTTTTATCGTTCTCGTTAAAAATCTTAATATAGGTTCTTAAAATTTATACTTATTACTTATCCTGCAATTGGATTTAAATGCTAGCATTGCAATTTATGCTCCGGTTCTGTGGAGTTCATCGCCATGCCCATTTCGCTATATCTCCATACGTCTGGGAATTCAGAATTCGTCTGGGAATTCAGATTTAAGTATTCACACGCATTGCTTATGCTCCAATAGGACTTAAACTCTCATTTCAAAAGGATTCAGCGCCATACTAATTTACTAAAAATTCAGAATTCGGTCAAACACCATTGGAGCTTAACACTTGAACATGTGTTTCACTGTCCGATAGTATACTTAAATTCAACGTTCTGCAATCGTGGAAAAGGTTAAGCTATGTACATCTTTAGATGACGAATTTTTCTGCTTAAATATTTTCCCATGGGTTCTACATATTAGCCTCTTGGCAATTTAGTCTTTAACTATTGTGCTATATTAGTGTACACTCATGATTAATAGAAATTATCTATATATATTGTTTCATTATTTTTTAGTACCCATTATCATCGCAAAAGGTTTCTCAAATTTAAATGTATTATCAATATTGTTTAATAGGGTATTGAATGGGTTTCCAAAGTCACAGTCAAATTTTTTCGATACTCCAGTCTTTTTTTTTAAATCTTTTAATTCTTATTATAGTTGCCTCATCTACGTTTTCTACTACTATGTATAGCGGCCACAACTCCACCTATACCTCTAGCGCAGTTGTAAGATGGAATTTTATTGTTCCTAATCTTTAAATTTCTGTTAATTTTATTTCAGTTATCTTAAGCTTTGTCCTATTTGCCCATGGAATAGTGCCATAGGTAACGATTGGTCGGACTAACGTTGTGTATATCCAGTACAAGACTTTGAATTCACAATCTCAAGTATTATGTATCAGTTCTATTCTTGTCGAAGTGGCAAATTATTTATCGTAGATACAGCTGTGACTCAATTCCGGTAGACTGTAGACTTGAAAAAATTCTATGTTTCATATTCATTATCGCTAGTTATACAATATATACTCAAAGCCATAGCGGATCTTACATTTGGATACTAAATTCAATCGTCTCAGAGGGTGCACTGATTGCTGTAGTGCTAAACTTACATGCAACCAAGAGAAGATAGATTACTCAGATTGTTATTAAAACTAAAGCAATGGAATTGAATCTGAACAGTGTTGAAGTGTGCTAACTTGAAAAATGATATGCAAAATCTGAAAAAGCTGTAATAGACTAGAAATAGACATTTAGTCACATGCAAAATTCTGTAATCTTAAATACTTGACATATGATAAGAAGTACTTTGAAATAAATTATACGTTAAATGGTATTTATTGTTTTTGTTTTTTTTTTTTCTTTTAAAAATTTATTCAAGATAAAATCGTTAAACAAATGACTTTCTGTGATATACATAAGATTTTAACAAGTTTTTTCTTCAAAATCGCAACGTCTTCATTTTGCACATTAATAATAATCGTTTTTAGGCGCAAGCATTTACTCGTTTAAAATCTACCAAATTAATTCGCTATTGAAGATATTAACTCGATTCAAAATAGAGTAACTGCTAACAGGGCTGAAATTCCCATTGGCAGATCAATCTTTTATAACAAATTAGATCGTAGTGTCTTCGGTGTGTGGAAAACATGAATTAAACTTACCAAGATAAGCACGCTACTATCTGAAGTTCACTTTTTTAATATTGATATTCCTCTTATAACGGCTAAACTTGCAATTAAAAATAAATACCTATGGTTTACAAGAAAAGCCGGGGCAGGTGAAGATTTTTCTCAGATCACAAGTGAGACTTATGGTCTATATTAGCGTAAATTCCTACTAGCCATGCGCTTCAACAAAAGCACAATCAATTCAGTGCAATGGTATTACTGCTGATAGATCACTGCATATTAAGAAGGCACACAATAAAACTTAATCGGTCTACTTTCTAACGACTTTTGTTATGGTTGTGACTCTGCGAAGGAAAAGGAAATATTGGTTAAGAGAAGATATAAAATTTTTGGTTTCTTTTTTAAATGGCCTGGAGACATATTCAAGTGTCTTAGGTTGCTGCCTTTACACTTTAATGGTGACATCGCGCCTTTTTAAAAGAATGCTGTTCGCGCATTCAGGTTCTTCAGATCATGCGGATGGACAGTTTCATATCGGTGGTATCACAATGGGCCCTTATATTCACTAAAGTTTCAAAATGAGTTTTTAATTCTATAAATCTATCAATATTTCTAATTTTAAATTAAATTTAATTTTTGTGCAACACATCATAGTAATCCACATCATCTTTTTGATTTGCCAAATATCGAAAAAAATGATTGGATATGATGGCTCAGTAATTCCTTAGCTCGATAACGCCACAATTTAATAAAAACAAATATAAATAAAATTTTATTATTTTATAGAGTTACCGATCAGGTCTGGAAAATTTTGTTTCTGAATTTTTCAATTTACATAGTTTATCATAAAGTCATTGAAATACAGGATTGTATTTGAATTTTGTAAAATATCAATGAGATAAAACATCATAATTTCGTAGACGTAAATAATTGGTGTCAGCTCTTATTGGTTTTTATTAGACATTTTTGGTTGCTAACATACCTTATTGACCATAATCCGGCGCCCCAGAAAGTGAGTGCCCGACTAAACCACTCCGCCTCATTTCTAGAGATGTTATCCTACTCCGGAATTACGTTAGTATTACTTTAAGGTAGGGTTCTTATTAGGCATTTAAGACTTCCATCGGTGTGACCTGCGCCCAGGTCCCGCTACTGCTGCAGCTGATTAACCTTACCCTTCATCTTTTATTGCTTTGTATTAGGCCTAATAAGTTTATGATAAACCAAATTGATATGTGTATAGTACAAAGAATTGATATGTGTATAGTACAAAGTTAAGAAGACAAAAACAAAGTTTCAAATTGTGTTTATTACAATAAATCGAAATAATCAACTTGAACAAAAATTGCAAAAAATATTACTATTTTAAAACCTAACAACTCAATTCCAATTCCACGAATATGATACTATAATATGTAATTGTTAATACTTTCAATTTTAATATATAGAGTATCTAGTCTGCAGAAGATGAGCAATTTCTATCATTAAATTCTAGAATTAGTAATAAAATTAGTAATAATCAAAATTATTTTTAAATAATTTTTATAAGAATTCCATGATTCCTTTTACAATAGTTCTGATTGATTTACATTAAGACTGAAAAGTTTTCGGAAATTCTCATTTAAAATTCGCGCGCTGTATATTTTTCGATATTTTAAGTTTATGTAGTTTGGCAGCACTGTCCTTAATTACTATGCCAAAAATGAGCTCGATCTGTCAGACAGTTCGTTTACGGCAGCTGTTGAAACCAGTTCACCTCAGTAGTGCGTTGCGAAATGTCTTCGACGGTCGTACGACCGTCCTGGAAGGCTTTGTACCACTCATAAACTTGAGTTTTCGATAAAACTGATTCCCCATAAGCCTTTTGTAGCATTCGCAACGATTCTGCACACGAAATTTCGTTCGAAACACAAAATTTGATGCAAACTCTTTGTTCAATATTTTTTTCCATTGTTTTTTTCGCAACGCCCTACTGAGGTGAACTGGTTTCAACAGCTGCCGTAAACGAACTGTCTGACAGATCGCGCTCATTTTTGGCATAGTAATTAAGGACAGTGCTGCCAAACTACATAATAAAATATCGAAAAATATACAGCGCGCGAATTTTAAATGAGAATTTCCGAAAACTTTTCGGTAATGTAGATCGATGATTCTTAATAATCTGCTTGAACTCATTTTTAATTTTTCTAATATTTTAACTATTTACTTTATCAATCACTTAATACTTACGTTTACATAAAGCAAACGTAAAAATATAAATATAACATCAAACATTGTTGGTTTATTTATTTCATTTGAATTCAATGTTTCATTTGCGATACTCGCCAAATTCGTTCACCTCAAAAGTGATGATGTTTCACCTCATTTTCACGTAGTTTATTTTTTAATCTACTTAGATGCTTTCTTGTTAGTTTATCTAAATATTTAATCAGTTAATAACTCATGCGCTTGTGTACGTTAAAAGTTTTCACGAGGCGACCTTGGCTAGCAATTTGCAATTTGGCTTCTACTCCAATGAGTTTACTGTTCCAAGAATAATTTTATGAACTCATAAATTGTGCTCCAGCAGTTCTCCATGTGTTTTTATGTGTCGGCTGAGTTTTTTTTTTATTCTATTCTAAACATGTGAGCATGGTCGAGATTTTGTTCAGATTTAAACACATAGATCTATCTAAATACATTAGTTTAAGAATTTCAGCAGATTTTGCAAATATACAACATGTCTGTAATATAGTCCCAGTTTAAAGGCTTATATAGTCCCATCCCTAAAAAGTATAAAATTAATTAAATACTTATTTGTTTTTCATCAGTTGTTTTAACATTTAAATAAAAATGATTTTATTTTCTCGTAGGCAAAAAATGTCATCCGTCCACGTTATTACTCCTCTGAATTGGGAATACGCGAAAAAGTTTTTGTTGGCGTTATGACATCACAGGACAACATAAATACGTTGGCGACAGCAATTAACCGTACAACGGCTCATTTAGTCAATAAAATAAAATTCTTCATAAATGCAGATAATGTTAAAAAAAACTACAATCTTAAAAATATTGTAGGATTCACAGATACTCGCGAAACTTTACGACCTTTTCATGTGATAAAATACATTGCAGACTATTATCTTGACGACTATGATTATTTCTTAATTATACCGGATAATGTGTACGTTGATGCACGAAAGCTGAAATCTATGCTGTATCATATGAGCATCACATTTGATCTCTACATGGGCTCACGTACAGAACAGAATGTTGTAGGCTATGGTGCATACAATGGGCGGTCGGACGATCTGATGAACAATGGTAAGATAGAGAATGAGAATAATGATGATTTCAAAATGCTCAGTGATCGGAATTACTGTGATTTAAATGCGGGCATATTGCTTAGTAGCAGTGTCATAAGAAAAATGCGCAATAATCTCGACTGGTGCGTGCGGAATGGCATTACCAATGTACACAGCGTTAATATTGGCCGATGTGTTAAGTATTCCAGTAAATTATCTGGCTGTCAAGAGAGTTTTCAGGTAAATATGCATTGTATTTAACCGCCACTTTATTTCAATCACAATATTCTTTCTTACCTACTTTGATAAGCTTTTACAAACAAATCAAAGTATCTTATTATGTTTGGTTATTAAGATTTTATGCACACTATATTCACTAAATTGTTTTATTAAAGTTTGCGTTGAAGTTTTTAATCATTAATTAAAAGAGTAAATATATAATGACAACGAAACTTTATTACAAGTAATTATTTTAATCTTTATAAAATTTAATTTTTAAAGTTAATTATGACGAAAGAAACCATGTTTCTAAATAATAACTTTTGTTTCTATAGAGAGGTATTTTGAACAATAGTGAATTACAACAACAATATTTTATTATTTATTAATTAATTGAATTTTTGGCATACAGCACATAGCTGTTGCGAGTATTGCCAAATCACCAGTGTTTATTTGGCAATATTTCTTGTATTTATTTATTACTGGAAAAATTTTTTGAGACTACAAGTACCAAGCGTAGAACTCGTACCCTGCCAAATTTAAATCTCAGAGTCTAACTTGTATGTTCTATTAATTTAATGTGAAAGTTTATTAACAAATTTACTCATATATCAACTATAAACTAATTGAATTAATTAATTATAGTTCTTTTTAGTTGTTAATTGTTTAATTGTATTTTAATATATAAGATTAATTATATATTATGATTAGTTTTTTGATTCTCTTTTGATAGGATAGTATCACAGTTAAATTACGTTCAACATCAGCTGAACATCAGCTAATGATTAATATTTTTTTTTAAATCTAAACAAAACAAAATCTTGATAAAACTTTATAAAATAAACCCTTAGTGCCAATATAGCTATTGTGAAATGTATTATGGTTCAAAAAACCCAAAAAGTGATCTACTGACACTATTTTGGCTTTCTCAGTCACACCATGAATATAGTTACATATATAATTATATGTATACATACCCATATCACTACTACCTATGTTGCCGTATAGCGTAATTAAAAAAGCTATAATAGCTGATTCTACTATAATGCAACGTCATATCGGCGTATTATACTGTCTCGTGATATGCTTGGCTATATTAGAAAAGATTTACTTTATTTTTCTTGAATCGATGTTATTGTTAACTTACCATGCTATATATCAAATGTCGGTAGTACAATATGTGCCATTGAAAGTGTGGGTCAATATTCGTATGATCTGCAAAAGCTATTATACGATCCCTGGAAAAGTGTTCGAAAGGTATTTTAAGTTCTATCAAATCCTAAATAAGAGGCCACATTTTTGTTGTTATTCTTGAACAGCGCGCATTGGACTCCATATCACAGTAAAATTCTGGCATGTTGATCAAAAATAATCTAAACATATGCATACCAAATTTAAGACATTACCTAAACATTTAATATTTATATTGCTTTTCTGTGGGCAATACAATTTTCGATCGTCTTTCTGTTTGTATGAATCCGATTGATCATTACTGACCAAGCCATAATTTTCAAAAGGAGTTACATTGTCTAAATATACGTAGACATGTTTTAGCTCAACGGTTGGGGTGTTCTTCATCTCATTAATCTTTTATGACATGTAGAAATTATTTTTTTGTGTGACTTGCACGTCCTCACACCCATAGTAACGTTTTCGTTACTTCTGAAAACGCATTTTTCGAAGAGTTAAAAGTTGTACAATGCCAAATCAGATGAATAGTAGGAGTGGTTCATATTTTAAACGTTTGTCGTTGGCTACTCCTAAAATACTACTCAAACGCATAATATATTCGTCGACGCTTAAAGATCTCTCTGAAGATTCAGAGTTAAAGATTGTGCACTGATATTTAATAATGATGAGATATATAATTAAAATTTTTCTTTTAAGAGTATTATTTATTATTAAAATATTGTGTACGAAGACTATAACAACTACATTTTATATAGTTATACTTATACGAACTCGAACATTGACTGTCCGTATTACTGTAGCCATTTTATGACTATTGTATCTAATTACCTTATATATTTTAATTATTAACATAAAGGTTAATATTAATAACGTATATGCGATTCTAATAATAAAATGTAAACTGCTTTAAGAAATAGATTTTTGGGTTTGTCCTCAGTAAATATCTTCGAATCCTTGAAAGTATCTTCAATAGTTATGTAGCGAAAAGTTAACTTATTAACTTGGCAAACAGAATTGTTTTGCCATAACTAATAATCAAAGAGTATGGGTTTAACAAAATGCTATACTATAGGATTGTATAGTGTACAGACCTATACAGTTTTAGGAATTGAATCCTGTCAAATTTGATATTCATATAAATATTTTAATTATTTATTACTTATAATCCAATTTAAAGGTAGCAGTATCTTATCTTCTCTGAGAAGACTTTTTAAAGTTCCTTGGTACATTAGGACGAATGATATCCTCAGGGACCTCAAGATTATAGTGTACAGACCTATGCAGTTTTATTAATTGAATCTTGTCAAATTTGATATACATATAAATATTTTAATTATTTACAACTTATAATCCAATTTAAAGGTAGCAGTATCTTATCTTCTCTGAGAAGACTTTTCAAAGTTCCTTGGTACATTAGGACGAATGACATCCTCAGGGACCTCAAGATTGATCCCATCAAAAAATACATAAAGGATAGAGCCCTGAAATTATTTGCGAAATCTGACAGACTTACTAACTCAGAATGGTTACAGGCTCCTCGGGGAGATATGCAGATCTGAGGTCAATTATTGCTTAGTCTAATGAAGTGATAAACAAAAATCCAGTCAAGACGCAAAGAGGGGTTTTGTAGAAACCTCGCAGTTATTAGAGAGTAAAAGTGCTCAGGTGCACTGACTCAACTCAACTAGCCTCAACATATAGTATCTTATCTATCTCTCTAAATTAGACTCTTCTATATTATTAACTACAAATAATAGTGAAAGTATGTAAGCAAATAAACTGAAGTACACATAGATCCACTCAACATTTTACAACAATTTAACTTGAGAGCAATTATCAAATTAAGGATGTCAATTACAAAATTTAATTATAGAAAGATTTCTTCAGTAAACAATCAAGCAAATACGAGTAATTCTAAGTTTTGTGCAAATTTCAATGTGCAGATGTCAAGAGTCAATATAAACAATAATTTTACAGTCCAAAGCAAAACAATTAAAATTAATTAAGTTTACATTGTATTGTACACAACACAACACAACAGAACAGAACAAAACCTAATTGCACAGAGCCGAACAAAATGTGTAGATACATAAATATAAACACAAGTAAATTCAATGAAACTGCAACAGAAGTTCGCTTAACACTCTACGTGCCGCTACGGCACAGACAGACACATTATATTAGACCTCACCGGCCACAAGGTGGTTGCTCGTCTGATGTAATTAAGTTCAATAATTTATAGCAGAATAAATAATTTGGTTTCTGAAACCTAAGCAATTATTTGGTTATATCTTATTTCGTTACAGTATAAACAAATTATACTTGTATCTGTAATAAAATACTAAGTGCTTAAGTGGTTGGAAAATATTGTTAAGGCTTAATTCTATTTTAAACTCAGTTTTATATTTTAGAAGCATATATACATTATGAAAGTATTATTAATAACATACATTTTTGCGCTTTTATTCTTCAACAAAATTATTTATAAATATTGATCGCTAAAGATTCCACTGTAAATTTGTTTGCATATAATATTACATTCTCTACACATCCATCTTATCTGATAATAAAAAGAAACAACATTCTTCTGAGTGCCTTATCTGCTTCGAACTTTAGCTAACATGATTAATATTTCTGTTTGTTGACAGCTTCGTGAAAAAACTATCTTACACATTAATTGAACCACTGCCGTAGATTTATAATCCACGAACGATACCCCTTGTCTAACAGGATGCGGCCCTGTTCTTCAATTCTACCATCAATTATCAAGACCGGATTTTCATACATGCCTTAAGATATCGCCAAAGTATTCCAGTTTTCAATTTAATTGGCTCCAATATTTTTCTTCCATCGTTGCTTTCCAATTCCAATTGATTTATTACAATTTTTTTTTTTGCGTTAAGATGAAGATACGAATATGAAAGATATATGATACGTAACACTTCCTGATTTGCTTTGTTACGCTAGAAATTTACGGACGTATGATTATAATTGTAAAACTTTTGATGATTCGTTAAGTGATCTATAGCCGATCTCTATTGCCAGATTATCTATTTGTAAATAAATCATCGATAATTGTATCGAAAAGAGCCAGTAAATTGGAATATTTTCCGTGGATGCTATTTGACTAACGTGTTTCGATCATGTAAACATGTCAACAATGGTGTTTTTTAGGGGGATTAGGCAAATGAACAATCGTTGTTTTTGCGAACAATCGTCTGACACTTGACGATTCAGCTAGTTATGAAAGATGTATTACCTGCCGGCTATGTGGCGACAAATTATCGAAAATTACCTCAAAAGGATGTAGCATATTAAGATTTTCCGTGATTAACATTTAAATGATGTGTGTTGCGTCTTGGGATAAGATCCAAACAACACATTGATATAAAAATTTTATAAAAATCTAAAACATCAGTGAGCTTCATTTTGGTTAATTGAAGATGGATAACCCTATGTATGCAATCCGGTACGTTCAGATACATTTTGATAAAAAACTACGTTAAGTAAGCAGAAAATTGTGTATAGAAATAAAAAACGAAACTAAAATCGCTAATTTTTTTTTTTTTTAAATATTCTAAGTTTTTTCCATTGTTGGAAGATCTATAAACTAAACTAAAAAAAAAGAAGTTATTTATAAAATCATTAACACCTTTGTGTTACACATATGTGTTTCTAATATATTATAATATTATGTTAGTTTTTCAAAACGATTTATTTTATTAGAAGTGATACAAATATTTCTGTAATCTATACTATAGTATAAGCATACACAGAATTAAAGCCACAGTTTGAGCTATTTTACGTCATAATATTAATTTTCTCTATATTTTACACAAGATACTTGTACTTTTTCTGGAACAAGCAATTTACACTTCACTGTTGAAAAATTATTTAACAAAACATAATAAAAGTATGTTCCGATTTTTAATTCGATTCTCAGGTAGCTAACCGTTCTTTCAGGGTCACGGTATCAATGAACTTATCGCGCTATATAATGGAACATTTCGGATAACATTTCCAGTAAATATGATGACTACAACATAATTAAAAAATAAATAAACTAGAAATTAAAAGACACCTAACATGTGAGCACCTCAGGGTGGTATGGCATGCGGCGTGGTGTGTGGTGGGTAATAAGTTTTCATTCTGGCGTGTTTGAGTGATCGAACCAAATAAATCAGGAGAGCGCTAAACCGTAAAAGTGCTAAACAATGCAATATTTTTTGCTGAACGAAATATTTTTTCAAAAAAAATTTTACTAAAATAGTTTTGATGGTTTTTTATGTAAATAAAATAGGCGCGTAATTTAAAAAATCCAAACAAATTAAAAGCTTTTGTTTAAATATTTTTAAATAAACTATTTTCCAATAGATTTTTTATAAAATATTTCTTTTATATAAGAGCAAATCGAAAACTACTACCAGAGTAAATACGGATAACGCTATGTATGAAATGGAATCAGATTTTTTTTTCTATAAGCTATTTTTCTAATCTACTATAGAATATAATCTGTTATTTTTCTATTATTTTTTCTGGATTATTTTTACCAGATAAAAAAATGTTCACGAAAAGTTAAATAAATTTTAAAAAAATAAGCAGACATTAATGCTTTATAGTTCAACACATTAATAAATTCTTCCTCATTTAATATATGACATTTTTACACTCCTCTTAAAACATTTTCTGTTTGCCCGTTATGCCCTTTTTAATTCTATGTTCTGCATTCATCCATTACATTCAATAATTAAATAATAAATGAAAGCTACTAACTATACACATAGATAGTGTTTTCATAACAACCAAATCTGTTGCTCGATATAATCAAACGATAATGCACATCAGGAAGGTCTAAATATGATACTTCATCTATTCAAGGTTCTAAGTGTTCAATTAAGTTTGTACCGTGAAAAGAGAAAGAAATTGGCTAACTATCTACACAATACAGTTTTGGATAAAATCAAAAAGAGAGGCAGTGATATAGTCGAAATTGACCAGGAATCAATAGACTAAATAACATCTATCCTGGATGTTAAAACTACTCTACCAGGTTGCAAACAAGGGAACCTGGTAGTCAAGGTCTGCACACCCGCTACACGTATTGTTCAAAGATGAAGAGAGGTACAGGAACGCGTACCTACTTGTAGAACTTGTTATTAAGCAGTCACATAGTGAAATGGAGACACACGAGGCCAATACCTAAACAGCAACTCAGATGTGTAAATTGTTCAGGAATAAAATTAAATCAACATTGCAGTGATAAATAAATTATGGAATAATCGTGAAGATTGTGCGTTGGCTTGATTGAACCTTATGGTTTAGTTTAGATAGGACATAATCGAAATATCTTTTACAGTTCGTGTCCATTCTGTAGTGCAACAAGCAAAACGCCTTGATAGAGAGGAAGTGGAATCTATCAATTATATATTTCTATATATATTAATCTATATTTCTGTTCAAGATTATAAACAAAGCGGCTTCATTGTTAGGTTCTTAACTTCAAATTATTTAACAAAACAAGAATAATACGTGATACTATCTTAGAAACAAAGGTGATAGTGTTACTGTTACTAATCATGATATCAACCAAAGAAACTTACTTGGTAGAACTTTTAACGAATCGTGTATATTAATAAATCAAGTTTGGTTTACAAGAATTATAATAATTTATGCTTAAAAAATACTACAGTATTTTAGAAATTTTTTTAATACAAACAAGTATTTTATTACCAAGCTTTGGACCTTACTTACCCTAACTGATCCTAATAACCCAGAAGGACAGAAGGTTCTGGAGAGATTGTGGTTTAGCCATATTAACCTGTACTTTTTGCTGTCCATCGTAGTATTCCGTTTATGTTATACTTATCTTTGAGAATGGTTTTAATACTGTTTTAGATTATCTCTTATCAAGATCTATTTATTGTTAGATGAAGTAGTCAATCATTTCTATTGTATTTTTTAATTTTGGTTTCTTTGTAAATTACTTCATTGGTGAATGAAGTACATATATTATTTTTAATATTGAATAGAAATGATTTGTTTATAATTTTAATGATTATTTTTTTTCACAATTGCTGGAGACAGAATCTTTGCTAAAACTGAACCAGCTCAAACAAACAAAATGCGGATCATCAAATGAATTATGCGATCTATATTTTTTTAATTTTATTGTAGCATTTGTAATTTTTTTATTACTTTTTTGTTTGAAATTAATTTGATAAAAAGTCTCATATAACATAAAAAGAAAAAATACTAAATGATTTTATAAAAAACCAACGGAAATAATAAACAAACAAAGTCCAACAGATGCTTATATACATTCCCAACATAGATTTTATAAACAAGGTCTTTGTTTAAACAAAAACACATGACAATTTTATAGTTGTTTTCTTTCACATCACATCTATTTAGTATAGATCATTCACCACAAACATCATTAAAATACAAAAAAAAATATTAAAAAATTTTATAATCCAAAACAGGGTGTTCGACAGTTCACGTATCCATTAAAACCATATGTAAAGTTATTTAAAGATCTAAACCAGTTAACAAAGGACGATTTTTTTCGCAACTCAACTACTGTTTATCCGGTAACATCTACTGATGATTTCTATCGCTTGCACGCTTACTTCTCTAGGGTAAATATAGTAATATATGTATATCTGAACAAATTAAAATAAATCACATATTATTTTCAATCAACAGTATCATTTGGAACTGGTGCAGCAACGTAGCAACGAGTTGGAACAGAAATCTTATCACATCGCTAATGGTTCAGTGTCTAATAATATACTTGAAATACGCTGGCCACTGGGC